TTTTTGATAATATTGCTACTATCAGCATACGCTTTAAAACATTAGCTAGTTTCTTCTTCCACTTGTTAGAGACTAACCTCTAGTGGCTTACTTTGAAGAATTTAACCCCGAGTACTTTTTCTAATATGTCTTCTCTTGATGCAACCAATGTAACTTCAAAAAAAGTTGCTGTCCATTCTGGTGTTAGTACGAGATCTTCAAGTACTACTTCTAATGAAGATTTAATGCAAATTATTTTGTTCTTCAAAGCTAAAGTCTTCGCTTCCAATAAAGCACTTTCTGACTCGCAATCTTAGCAGTTCAATACACTTAAAGCAGAAATATTAAAAGTTTCTGAGCAAGTGAGTGAACTTAAAGCAGAAAATATAATACTCAAAAGAGATATTGGTTCACTTAAGGCAAAAATTAGTAGTCTTGAAGAGAACAACTCGTCTGCTAACCCATCCACAATCACTAGCCAGGTTTTGTAAGAACTATTTGAACGAGATCGTTGTTCTTCCAATGTGATTGCTTATGGTGTATTAGAGTCTACTTCTTTAACTGGATCTGAGAGAGTTCTATATGATGAATCCATGATTAAAAATATTTTGTTGCCGGTTAGAAATTACCTTCCAACAAATCGGATTGGGAAACCCGCCCACTTAAGCTAATATATACTAACAAAGAGGAAGCACAATTTTTGCTGTACCATACAAGCAGGTTAAGCGGTCAGGTACTCAATTCCAAAATGGTTTTAATCTTGTCAAGGATAAAACCAAATTTGAACGACAACTATTACGTGCTTGTCAAAATGATCTGTTGTCTCGTACAGCTTAAGGTGATACAAATCTACGTATATATCATGAAAATGGTGTTCCATCTGTGGTCAAATCCATTCCAAAAAACCGGGTCCGTGAAAACATACCAATCGACAACCAGAGATTCAGCAAATTTCTCAACTTTCATAGTTCAGCTATGTACACTAGGTTTGCATGAGCATGTATATTTTTATGATAAATACCAAATCCACTCTTAGTACTTTTATATTAGATTCTACAATTTTAAAATTAATAAGTCTTGCCCTCGTGATTTACGTACAATCAGCTATATTACGTCGAATGATAATATGTATAGTAATGTAAATTATAACTTAACTCATAATGTGTCCGTTTGGTTTTTACCAAAACTGTCGTGGCCTTAGGACTAAATTTTTTACTCTTAAGTGTAATCTTGCCAGCTTTAATTATGTATTTCTTGTTTTAACAGAAACCTGGCTTAATTTTGATATATTTGATTCTGAATTATGTTTGGATAATTATAATATTTACCGATATGATAGAAGTATTTTAATGAGTAATTGTACTAGAGGTGGTGGTGTCCTTATTGCTGTGCATAAAGATTTTCATTCACAAATTGTTTCTATCTCTAATTTAAGTATTGAACAAATTTATGTTAGTTTTAGTTGTAATAATGACAATTTTATAGTTGGTGGTGTATATTTTCCTCCTAACTCTCCTAATCAATCCTATGATACTTATTCTAGCACAATTAAAAATCTAGTTTGTTGTTATAGCACCCATAGTTTTATTCTATATGGTGACTTTAAC